AGCTGTGAAATCTTTGTTATTATGCTCAGCGTCTGTTAGTTTACATTTTGACTGCACTTATTTATGGAGCATGATTATTTAATAAATGCTCATAATTTATTTTTGAGTAGTTTTTTTCATGCTTTTCGTGTCATGCTTTGACTAAGAACTCTCTGTTTGTTCTTACCTTGTGGCTTTAAAAAAATATCGAGATATATATCTTATATCGCCATCCAGCTAAAAAATATCGAGATATGAATTTTGGGTCATATCGCCTAGCCCTAGTGTGCAGAGATGCATTTAGAGCTTAAGATGTCATGTTAGGACGCATAACGTTAAGAAAAGTTAATAAAATATCTTTGTGTTAAAGGACAAAACACAAAGACGATTATAACGGTGAAACTAAAGTTAATATTCATTCATTAAGAACAAGATTGTGTTGATGTAAAGAGCTCATGTGTAAACGTACATTACATATTATTCAATGGCAGAAAACATTTCTAAGGTGGCAGTTAACCCTGTGGAGTCATTAACTGTTTAAATCACACCAGTCTGATGAAATTTGTAACAAAAATAATTTAGTTAAATTAAAGAAATCCAGACATGCTTACCTACGCACAGCCAGGCCTCCCAGCAGTTTGTAGCGCAGAGACTCAGCCTGAGCGATGGCACACAGACCACGAGTGGCAACTTTCTCAGCGTACAGCTAAAAGAAAGAGGAAGGACATTTCAGTATTACAGACGAACACCGGGATCAAACCTAATGTGTAACGATGGACTGCAGGTTTCCTGCACCGTCTGCAGCACAGTCCTGATGCCTTGACCCTTCTCAGACAAATGCCTCTGTGTCTTCACATGGAAAGGACTTCCTGCTCTGAGGTGCTGGAGCAGGACCACAGAACGTGGATCTGAACCAGCGACCAGCAGAGCGAGACCGAGTCCTGCTCCGTCTCGTCATCGTATCATCACTGAAGGGAAATCTGACTGTCTAACATCAGAAGCCTTTGCACTTTACTCACTGGGTTTCCACCAGGATGAGATTACTGTAAAGTGTTAATATTGTAAACAAACAAACGACCTCTAAACAGTTTAAAATTCCATATTTTTACATTTTTGCAGACAAATGTATTTATTTTTCAAACTCTGAAACCTTCAAACATTTGTTCAGATACACCTCACCACTGACGACTTACTTTCCGTACTAAAAACCATCCAACAGTGAGCTTAAAACACTGATTAGTCTTACACATTTATAGCGAAAGGTTGGCTTCCGGTGACGGACCGTCCCTGGCATGCTCGTGGAAATGTAGTTCTTTGAGCAGATAATCATTTTCAAAAAACGAGCACAAGACTGGAAAATAAATACAATTCAGGGGGTCAACCGGGAGGTCGATGTAACTGGCAAAACAATCTGGGGGCCGACCACAAGGTCAGCGATGGTGGCGAGGCTTGGCAGGTGCGGGATTGGCTGGTGGCAGCCCTCGGCGTGGCTGGGCAGGGCCAGATGTCGCAAAGTCCTCTGGCTGAGACGTGGCTGGACCTCGTGGCAGGGAAGTCGCAGGGAGCTGGGAAGTGGAGATCGTGGCCATAACAAAGTACTCTGTCTCCTTCGGTCAATAGTCCAAGAATCCTTGGTCGAATGCCAAATTCAACAATATTGTCAAAGAAACGCTGCTGGGTCATCATGGTCAGGTCACTGTCACAGCTGGGAAGGCTGGTGCTTGGTGTGGGTCCAAATGCAGACACTTGAAGGCGTGGTGTGTTAGACAAAAGACTCGTTTATTGTGACTGAATAAAAAAAACGTACCAAGCTCTCAAAACAAAAGGAAGGAAACTAAGACGATACTGATGATAACTAAACTTGGAGGAACTAAATTACTACACGCGGAGGACAAAGAACATGGAAAACTAGACATGACAATCAACAACCTGGAAATATGGAAAACATGGAAAGAGGCACCGGCCTCGCTGCTCAGAGCCATGTTAGCCAAATGAAGCAGTCGCAGCACAGACAGGATCTGGATTCATCCGCTCAGTATTGAACCCAGACGGGCACAAATGATGGCGGGAGGCCACCAAATGTTTATACCCCATCCAGTGTGAGCCCATTTTTAAAGGCTTCCACATGTTTGTGAGTAAAACGGGGATAAAACAGTGCTGACCCTGTTCTTTCAGATCTGCACCGCCATCTTCCAACGGGCCTTAGACAGGAAAGGACCAGCAGAGGACGCGGGAATGGATTTATAGCTATAGCTGGTTGCCGGTGACGGTCCGTCCCTGGCATGGTCACGGAAACGTAGTTCTCTGAGCAGATGCGACGAGCATGATTTTGCGGGTTCGTTATGTTCATTACCAAAGCAATTTTCCAAAAACCACCAGATTTATTTATGTGTTCATCTTCAAACATGGAAATATAAATCAGAACAAAACACACCAAACTTCAGGAGGTAGACAGGTCCACTCCCTCACATTATAAAGGCAGAGCAGGTGAAATCTGCAGCAGTGACACTAATTATATTTTTATTAATTTATTTATATTTTTATTCCTCCACAGTTGGTGCAGCATCCACAATTTCATTGTACAAGACCAATGACAATAAAAGGCTGTTCTGTTCCATTTTATTCTATAATTAATATAAATAATAACAATAATAAGAAACTTTAAGTTACTTTATGAGTTACAAATATGTTTTTGTAGTCTGTTGCTTTTTATTACTTGAAAGTTTTAGGAATAAAGATTTGAACTAAAGTAAATATTAGGACGAGTCCTGCTCCGTCTCATCACTGGAGGAACACCTGAGCGTTTAAAATCAGAAGCCTTCGCACTTTACTCACTGGGTTCCTACCAGGATGATATTATTGTAAAGTGCTGTTGGCAAAGTTTAATATTTTAAACAAAAAACAAAACAGGACTTTAAAAAAAACCATTTTCAAATTCAATATGTTTACATTT